AGCTTAGTACAGAGATGGGAGAGCTGGGTGGGAACCATGGAAGGAAGGAGATGGGAGTTTAAGTATCTACAACTTCTGTTTGTCAAACCCCATGCATAACTTTGTCAAATAAATCATGGGAGACCTTAAGACTCAATCTAACGAGACAGTGAAAATGGGTTTTAGGAAGAGATGAGAAATCTCTGGAGGAAATCACAACGAGTATATCAAGGGAAAGAGGCTCTCTCAGTCAAGCATTTTCCCACTGTGTTAATATCCGGAATAACTTCACTAACCCTTTGCCATATAATGTAGATCATCTATAAAAGGTACGAGGCATGCAAAGAAAAACAAACATCATGAAACCCTACTTTTCATTATGATGATTCAGAGAATGTCATTCTAAATTTGAGGAAATGATCCATTAAGAATGAATTACTCATAATTAAGTGAAAGGTTTGCTCACGTTTATTGAATAGCATTAGATTAATAAGAAGCATTATAAAATTGGATACCAGAGACCACCAACAACCACAACAAAAAAAAATCTATGCAAAAGATGTGAGTAAAACAGTTTGTCAGGGCATACTTATAAAAGAATACATCTGAATATCATCCTTTAAAGGCTTCTTCTGAATATTCTATGAATTTAAGCCTGGGGATCTTTAAGTGTTATTAGTTTTTAATCTGTGACAATACGTCTTTGAAAGAAACTCCTTAAAAGTAGAAACAGGACTCGCATTCCTCTCAATAGTGAGCTTTTGAATGGAGGCTGTCTGTTATGTGGACCCCTCTGTCTCTTGATAGGCTGATGAAGTTCCATGGGTTTCCCAGGCAGCTCTTTGAATCTCTATTGGAAGCCTTTTCCTAGAATGTAAAATGATTAAAATACATTCTATCATTTCTTTCTTAATTCAAGCCAGATGTGCAGGTTTGAGATTTAAATTCTCATTTCCTTATTATTATTATTTTTAAGGAAACATTAACATTAAATAATAAGCATATTATCAAAAGAAGCTTAAATGATGTGTAACTAAGTATCCTCAAAGAAACTTTCCTCCCTGATGAATACAATGCAGTCCCCAAGTATGTAGGGTACTGTATTCAAAAAAAGTTCAAGTGTGTCCTATCAGCCTCTGCAGGGTGATTTTCCCATGTATTCTCATGCTTGCTTATATGGGGAAGCTCTTTCTCTTGGAAAACATTCAACAGAACACAAAACTAAACCCAGAGCAGGAACAAGGGGGAGTGCAGGTGTCCTTAGCAGGTATATTGGCATCAGGCCTTCTGTGTCTCAGCTGCAGCTAAGAAAGTTTCTTTTCACTGGAACTAAAACAAAAACAAGAGAGTCATGTTTGAAGAAGACCATAAACTGTGGCTTTCTCCTGGATGTTATCAAGCAAGGAATATTGTGAATCCTGGCTTCCAGCTTACATAGTTTACTGAGCTATTAGTATGAGTCACCCCAACTCTCTCTAATAGATAATAATAGTGAAGAATTGGCATTTGTCTTAGGAATTTCTCATAAATTAAAAAAAATGGCCCCCATTTGGATTGCCCAGGAAAGGGAAACCCTTCAGGACAAATTACAATTTGAAAGCCCTTTGTATGCCTGACTTACTTCCATAATTCACTCAAAAATTTCCTTGTCCATTTGGAGTTAGGATTCAAACATATAGCTGACTTGTTCTTCAGCCTGACTCTGGAAGAAAATAAACACAAATAAACATAAAGCATTGTTAAATTTTAGTCAATCCTGCACTTAAGGAAAGAATTGAGTATAAAAATAATTATTCCCAGATGAAGCGAAATTGGAGGTAAGCTGTTTTAGATCTGGAATAGGTGATTTGTAGCCTGAGATCTGAAGAATAAGAAAAACATCATTTGCAGACCCGTATGGGTGAGCTGGTGGAGCTGAATACAAAGCTGACAGCATCTCACAAGTCAGAGGTTACTGCTTTGTTGACAACTTTTATTTGAGTTGGAGACAGATCAAATAGCTGACTCCAAGGTTGGCTCACTTCTAAAGCTATGTCACAATATCTTTTAAATGTGTTTGACCATTGAGCTTGGGAGAACAAAATAGACTATAAAACACACTCTCTGGCGGACCTTTTATTTGAAAAAAATTCAATGAAATTTACTGTGGGATTTATACCACAGCGGATTATCTGTGCGGATTGATCTGAGTGACATCTGCAATAGGTTGAACTGTGAGTTAGTGAGACTTTCATTGCGCTAAGAAATTAAGCAATAAAAAAGCAGCAACAATAATTAATAGCTGATATCAATCAAGCACTTACAATGTGCCAGGCATTGTACTCAGTAGGTAACATAAAATATCTCCATTAATTTCACAAAAATCTTGTGCTAGATAAACTATTATTTCCTCACCTTCAGATGAGGAACTTGAGGCTTAGCGAGTTTAAATAACTTTTCTAAGATTGCACAATAAATGCACGATAGGGCAGGATTCAAATGAAGGTTATCTGACTCTAAAATCTACACTTTAGCCACAGTTTTATATGGGCATGATCTGAATGGTTACCAAGTGCAAGATATGGTGTTGAATGTTCTACTTGCAGTGAAAGAAGTGAAGTCTCCCAGGGGATAGCAAACTGGGAGAATCTATTCTTTATTGGTGCGATCTCAAGCAGAACACAATTTCTAGCTGTGTCATTTATCTTAGCTATAAAATGACAAACAGCAAGGATCCATATATCTAGCTTTGAAACTCCACCCTTGTTAAGTGAATCTTAAGAGGTCAGAGGTCATAGAACATTTGGGTTCTCGGGCAGAGCCTTCCAATTTGGTTTCTGTGTTCATGATGAAAAGACAGATTTCTGATCAGCTGGACTCATAGTATTTTGATCCCTAAATGGTATGAGTTTCTCATAATAATCTGCATCTTTCGTTTCTATATCTGGTTATAATTCAGTAATGCAGAATTTGGTGAGAAGATATGAAATTAAATTTTTGTCCCTTCAAAATGATTGAAGTTAAAGCAGAGAAAAATTAAGGTGCATTACTTTCCCTGGTTGAAATGAGAGAGCCTTGACTCATGACAGAGGAAATGTAATGAAAATAAAGGATTCTCAGTTTTCTGCTCAATCAGAGGAACTTCTCCCAACTAGGTCATGGTTAGACTTCGCACCTCTGAGTGAAGGACAATTGTTGTGGTTTAGTTAGAACTTTCATTGGCAAAGACATTAGTTAAAGTATAATGCCTTTTTAATGAAAAATTCCATACATATTTTTTATATCACACATTTCTTTTTTATAAGTGAAATGCAATTAGTCTGAGGCCCAAAGCATTGACATCAAAATGGGACTAACAAAAAGTGAGCTGTTTACAAACATTTCACAAGTCTAAATGAAAGCAAAGTCAGCAAAGTCCTAGGAAGTTACTATGCCTCATACTTCCAAGGTGTTGTGGGTGCTTGTTTCATTAAAGATGCATCCAAGAGGAGAAATCAAAGTTCTAAGTAGTTATATGCAAAAGATCTATAGGCTCAATTTAAAATATTCAATGCAGGGCCGGCCAAGTGGTGCTGTGGTTAAGAGCTGGCTTGGGACACCAGATGGTCCCAGTTCGGATCCCAC